ACACACACACACACACACACACACACACACACACTGTATCTACATTTTACCAGTTTTCAAAAATATCAGAACTACAGTCCTAAGGAATATGGTAAAAATTGGCTAGCACCAAGACTTGGAAACATGACTAGGTAGGCTAAAATGTGGAAAACACAAACAGGGCAGGTGGTTTGCTGTGCTAGAAATTCAAGAGTATCATCACTGAAGATAAAATTGACCAGCAGCAGGACAGTTTTGGTGGGAAAATGTTAATGTGGAACTGCCCAGGCCATGAACTAGAATAAAAGGGTTGATATACAGGCACTGTGCATGTAGGGGAATTGGTAACATTTTCTTTGTCCTGCTCTAGCAAAACCTGGCATGGCAAGGTTGTTACTGAAGATAGTGGGGTGGGTGTGGGCGAGTGATGCTTTGAATTTCAAGGCTTTACTCTGGAGAAGGGTGGGTAGCCTATGGCAATATGATTGCATGCTTAATCTATGCTGCTGCATTATGGCAACTGGATACCTGTCACTGGCAATTAGATGCTGGGTATGGGGATTATTTTTATACTGCTCCAGCAACTGTGAAAGAGACACCTGCCTTGGGAAGGATGTTGCTAGAGAGAGTGGGGTGGGTATAGGACAATCTTGCAGATGACCCTCTTCCCTGCTTGACATGGTGTATCCTAAGCCTCTAAAACCCCCTGTGAGACTTCCCTCCCTTTCACTAATAGCTGCAGATGTTGCAGTGGATCTAGCAGGAGAGGGTTGTGGGATGGGGAAATGCGGAAAGCATGTATAGAAAGGAGGAGGAGGGCAGGCTGCTGACTTATCTCATTGAGGTGCTGCTCCTACAGCTTATACACTGGCAGCAAATGCAGACTGTACTGTCCGCAGCAGATATATTAAAAAAAGATATGTATGAATCAATATTAGTTGCAAAGCTTCTGTCTATGCATTGTTCCATATATGCTATTGATTTTTGTTATTGCCTATATCTACATTCCTCCACCCACTTTTGTGTGGGATCATCAAACAGCTGACATCCTTCTTGACGGATTTACTTCTTATATCTGTATTGGCTAATTTTAATAACAAATGTATCCTAAAATGGAAAATAACCTGCCTCGTGGAATGCTGCACTAAGATCCATGTCCTCACTAGGAAAACTATGTGATGAATTGAGTTTGATATTTATCAGACATTGCATTTCATTGATAGGAAATATACGTGTTCTAAAACACATCATGCTGGGCACAGAGAAGCTTACTCCCTTTGTCTGTTCTGTAACCTTTGAGATGAAAAGTATCTCAAATCACTCTCCTTTGGAAGGGACCATTTATATTACACACGGGATTACCTGTAATGTGTAAAGTTTAAACCCCTTCTGGCTCATGCTGATATCTTCACACTCCCATATTCAGTCGAAGTGAACTCTCTTTGATCAAGAGGTTACTGAATTCAAGTATCTGGGTATTGATATTTCATGGTATGTTATGGCATATATGTCTCTTTAAATGTCCTGTTGCTCCAATGATTTAAAAGAAATGTGCTCCCTGGTGCAAGTTCCCATTCACGATTGTTGGCACGGTGAATCTGCTCAAAATAGTGTGGATGCCTCAGTTGTTTGTTTTTCACAATACCTCTTGATATGTTACACTGTAATACTTCAAAAAGTTTACTGGGATAGTCAGAGACCTAATCCTTTGATATATTTTCTTGTCTCTCAGTTACAACACCTATGGGTTGGGAATCAGCCAACTGCTCATCTGCATAATACATTATAATATCTAATTATTTTAGGGACCAAAAACCTCTGCACATCCTTTAGACTAATCATTACCTTAACACCTTTGCTAACACCTGGTACCTACATGGTAGCATATATATGGTTGGTTCCCCGCCCACAACCAACTCCCGGGAACGTACTCTATACATTTTCCTCACCCCGTATTCCTTTTTTTTTGTCCTCAAGACCTTTGGGACCAAACTCTGACCCCTTAGGGTGCTCGAAATTAGTCAAACTATCCAGGTTCATGGTCTCCTGGGTGAGGTCTACACGCTTAGGCTAAATAATGTGCCAGAAAACGTGCATAGGCAGGTTTTCTGGTCATCTTTCTGGCCCTTTAAATGGAATATACATTGCTGCTGTGTGGTGTGGAAGTGTGGTTGGGAGACATAATCTAAGACCTAGCTCACCAAGAAGGGCCTTACTGTCCAGTGCAGAACGCAGCCTGCTGAGAGCATCATGATTTCAAGGGTGCCAACGCTCATATAGATGCTACTCCTCCCTCTCGCCTTCACACTGGTCCAAGAGCAAGAAATGCTGTTCTCATTGCCATCAAGACTCCAACTCCTTAATATGGAGGCTCCTTCAGTGGCGGATGAGAGAGAAGCTGACAGTTTTGGCAGTCTTACCTCTTTGGCCGAAAAGATCATAGTTCACACTCCTGTCTCTTCTAGCAGTCGACAAATGCTAGATCTCCCAAAAACTCTGAAATCCCTCACTCAAGGCCAGTTCGAGTATCCCAGGCCGGAGACACTAAGCTTGAAGGCTTGGAAATTGAGAGGCAAAATCTTGAGACTTTATGCTGTTCCTCTGGAGTCAACTCCACTCTGTTAGCATCAAGAAAGGAAAGCAGAAACAGCACCTATTACAAAGTCTGGGAAACATTCTCAGAATTTGCAACGTTTGCAAATTTTG